ATGCAAATTTACGAATGTAATTTTATGATCATAGATAGATTATATACGAGTGCTCTGATACGAGTGCAAAATGTTATCCTCGACTTGTGGAAAATACTTAATCGTTGAGTGGTAACTATCCCTTCGAAGATCCCTTAAGTTGCTGAATTTTTAACCTATCTTGCAATTTTTATTTTACTCGTGACCATCAGCATTCCTAGGAAATTCCATAAATTTTAGTTGTTTATACTACGCTGCACAGTGGAATTTCTGTAGATTTCTGTAAATCGTAAAATTTGGAGTCCCATGGAAATTCCTTTTTTTGTTCACTTTTGGGGGTGAGTTGTTCAGATGTCCTCAATAGGGGGAGGGGGTGCAGATTAAACATGCAATCGAGTAATCTTACAATGATTCTTGCAATCTGAATTGGCAGAAATCCCGCTTTTCTTTGTAATATTTCAAGGCCTGTAGCATTGTAATTGAATATATTTGCCTTAGAATAATGTGATATTTTCAGTCAACCTGGGATAGCTATAGCGCCTAGTACAACATTTAACCCGTTGATGTGGCTCCCTCCTACACACGTAAAACGTGCGTAAAAAGTTGTTACAGCCTGCAAACAAGTTATTACAGATCTGTTGACAAGTTGTGTTCGCACTGCTTGTTCCTAGTTGTTATAACAAGTTTGGAACAAGCTGTTAACAACTTGTAACGTTAAACAAGCTTGATGGCATTATCAGACTTGTTACAAGGTTGTTCTAACAAGTCTGATACAATCATGATATAACAAGAATGTTACAAGGTTGATGACACAAGGTTGTAACAATATTGTTATATCATGACTGTATCGGACTTGTTGGAACAACCGCAACAAGTCTGATAATATCAACAAGGTTGTTACAAGTTGTGAACAGCTTGTTCCAAACTTGTTGACAACTTGAGACAAGCAGTGCGAACACAGCTTGTTGACGGTTTGTTGCGAGCAAACTTGCTGCAAGATGTGAGATTTTTGCGTGTGTATACAGTTATAGTACAGTTTAAAAAACAAGATTTATATAGACCAGACGTCGTCCTCGCGACCCGCGCGTGGAATCTTCGTGGCCCGGCAAAAATTTTGAAACAAGGGGCGGAAAAGGGTTGTTTTTGAATTTTATCTGAAAACACCAGTTTTTAATCATATATAATCCTAAACTTTTCAAAATCCGAACTGTACGTATGTTAACTGTACTCAAAAACTAAATTTAGGAAACGGATTAATTCAATGCGTTATTCATTATATCAATGTGTGTTCTCAATTTTTCTTATTGTGAACAAATATCCTTTACTCTCATCTCAAATAAGTATAGGAAATTACACGGTTCGAGAAGTATTATTCAAAAACTCATTAATAATTCTCATCTTGAGTAAGAAATTAGTCACGTGCATACGTCTTTATACCAGCTAAAGAACACTTTAACAAAAGACTATTGTTATGCAAACTATATAAAGATTTTTATATAAAGATTTTTATATAAAGATTTTTATATAAAGATTTTTATATAAA